TTTTTCTGAGAATATGTTAAAGGCTTGCGTATCTGTAAGAATAGATGTTACTCCCTCCGTTCCAAATTACTCGTCGCAGAAATAGATGTATCTAGAATTAAAATATATCTAGATACATCCATACCTGCGACAAGTAATTCGGAACGGAGGGAGTACATGTTAGAAAGGTCATGCACTGCTTTCCCGCAAAAGAAAAAAAAAGGTGATGCACTGCTTTTCTGGGAAAGATGAGGTGGTGTTGATAGCTTTCATTCTTTGGCAAGAGTTAGGAAAGACCTTTGTAATACAGAATCTCCTGTCACTCTCTTCTTTGCCCTGGCTGCGAGCATTTAGTTCTTCTATTTTCCTGCGGCCGACTGTGAATATTAGAAGAAGATAAAATGGAAATTGGATTTAAAAGAAGACCAAGCCTTTGAGGAAAACCAATGGAAATTGATGATTCAACAGAAGTGAAGAAAAGAAAAGTTGCAGAAAAGCAAAATAAAAAAGAATGGGGTGAGAGAGGCTCGAACTCTCGACCTCAGGATCACTCGCATGTTTTAGCTATGAGACCTACGCGCTAGCCAACTGCGCCACCACCCCGTTGCTGTAGGACTAATGATTCAGTCCTTCTTATACGTATATAAAAAGAGACAGGGAAGAAAAAGGGGAGGGGAAAAAGGGGGAATTGGGGCGAGAGAGGGGAAAAGTCCATTCTGCATCCGAACTCATATGCTCCCGCATGAACAGTAAAATCGAAAAAAAACTCAAAAAATTCCAATTTTTTTTTGAGAGAAACGTTGACAAAAGTTCTAAGTGCTTGCAAAAATTCGTCATGAAATCACATTCCTAGAAGGCGTGGCAAAAAAAAAACAAATTCAGTGCTTCAAAATGCGTTTGAAAGTAGCTTTTTTAGAGTAATATTTTTGTTTTTTTGCCACGCCTTCTAAGAACGTGATTTCATGACGAATTTTTGCACGCACTTAAAACTTTTGTCAATGTTTCTCTCAAAAAAATTTAGAATTTTTTGAATTTTTTTGATTTTACTGTTCATGCGGGAGCATATGACCTCAGGATTGCTCACTAGCTCTGAGATATTTATCCGTAGGTGCGCTGGCCCCAGGATCGCTCAATGCAGCTATGAGACCTACGCGCTAGTCAACTGCGCCACCGCCCCATCGTTGTTCGCTCCCCATCTCCAACCTCCTTTATACATTCACGCAACTACCACTCCACCATCTCCACTTCTGTTGCTGCAGAGAACTGGGCCGCAAACACCTCGAGACTCCAATGGTCGTTCGGATTAGCGCTTGGCCCACTGGTCGACTGTCAAGTGGACACGTTTTGGCAGACGCTTGTGCTGTGTGTGTGGTGTGTTGGTGCAGCGGGTGATCGATCGGGCGACATGCCCACATGGGTCCATCGATCGATGATCCGTCTCCACGGCTGGAGCCTGCCTCCACCAACCACCTTGTCTGAAAACAAGAGATGCGAAAAAAAAATGCGTTTTGTGTAGCCAGGTACACGTCTAGACTCACTGAACGCGGGGACGGACACGCGGAGCAGCCTGCGTCTCGCAGCCAGTTTGGCGACATGCTTCTTCTTGGAAAAGTGCGTGCAAGTCTACGCGTGTAGTCCAAAAAAAAAAAACTAGTAGCACATAGTACTAGCAAAAGAAAAAAGAAAAGGGGCTTACAAAAATATTCATTTGATTTACATATAGTCGCTCCCTTTTAAATTCAGTACATATAAGAACAAAAAGAGAATATGTTGTGCAGAGACCATAAACTTACAATAGAATTATTTCAATGCTGCTGTGGGTGTGGATTGAGACATGGCACAACAACTTGATTATATTTTAGTCAGGCAACCAAAGTCGGCTTCCGTTCCCTCCTTAAGAAAAGCCTCCGGTTCCTCTGCCTCCCGCCGGTCCGCCTCGTCTTCGGTGGCTTTGGCGTCATGGCGGCGCGGTGGATCCCGGCCCTTGCCGGCGGGTGGGATCTGTTTTCCGGTGTTCCTCCGAGTTTTGTTAGGATTTTTCTAAAGACGGAATAAGGTTCTCCCTGTCTAGTCTCCGTCTCAATGGTGTATCTAGCATTATCGATAGGCGTGTGGAGGTGTGTCTTTGGCGGATCTGTCTTTAGTGGATTTTCTTGGATCTGTTCGTACTTCGTATACGTTGATGTCTGTCTTTAGGTTGGATCCTTCTTATTTACCCGACTCTTAATCGGCGATGATTGATGTTCTACTGCGCTGGTGCTATGGGGCCTTAGGACGACGACTTCCCGATTGTCTACTACAACAAGTTTTGGCCGGCTCCGGCGAGGGAGGAGCCGCGACGACGTGGCACCTTCGACTCGCTTCAGTGTTTATAGTCATCGCTAGGTGGTGAGGGGGGTCGCCGCCAGGAGACCCAATCTTCCAGCGCCGTCCTCTGGCGGCTCCCCTCCGCCGGCGACCTCGGTCGTCGGGGTGAGGGGGTCGCCAGATCCACGCGTGTGGATCGTTTTTACCTCTTCGTAGTTTAGATTTTTAGGATGTTCATCGTCTTTGTTTCGGCGGCGATGATGACAACACTGAATAAAGATTCTTCGAATCCTTCCTTGACAAGGTCATCGGTCCTATGGTTGGGGATGGATTTGGAAACCAGTCTGTTCAAGCAAGGATGGCGTGGCGGCGGCGGCATCCTCGTGGTGGACCTGTGTCCTCGGGCTCCGCCGTTGCGACGACGTTTGCTCCAGCGTCGGCGCGGAGCTTGGGAGGTAGTCCAGGAGCGGATGCAGATTGTGGTCTGCATCGACGACATCTGGAAGACGGAACACGTGCTGGGTTCATGGTTCGTGGATGGCAGGTATGGTTTCCTTCTGCGACGTCTTAGTCGCGGTGGGGTGTCATATCTGGAGTTCGATGGCGTGTCCGGGGTGTTGCCCCGGTCTGATTCGTTCAACGGTAAGGGCTTCACTTTTGGTGAGCCACCTTGGAGGTCCGCAAAGCTGCATATCAGCGATGGAGCCGCGTCGAGCTCGGGTGAGGAGGTGATCCATCATTCTTTTCTTCGGTGGCTGCTGTCGTGGTGCCGGAGGCAGGTGATGGGCGTTGGTGTCAAGCTCAGAGATGTTCTTCTATCTTTTCAGTTTTGTCATGTCGTTCCTTACGTGACTTGTACTTTAATCTTTATGCTATGAATGAGACACGTATTACCATGAAAAAAAAGTATGCTCGGGGCGCTCCGATTGCCTTGGCCATGGTACGAATGGAGGGAGCCTGATCGGGCCTAGGTTCTATTATGGACGCCTTGCAACAAGGGTGGACATGGACTTCTTCTACGCCGCTATGTTGGGCGATGGCCGGATCCGGAACTCGTCGTGGCTTCTTGCAGACAAGGCTAGCGATGATGTGCCCCTGATTTCTGACATCTCCACTGGCACGAGCCTCATCGTGCGGGACGCTTTGCATGACTTTGCTGGCGCGCTCGGGAAGATTGACATGGCTCACTGCCTCTCAATCAACCAGGTCGCACAATTTTGTGCCCTTTGGGCAAGTCTGGAACAAGTGTAGCTTCGTGATGACATCGCCGACGACATTGTTTGGAAGCTGACCGTTAGTGTCAAGTACTCCGCGATGCCCACCTACGAGGTTCAGTTCCATGGGACGACCGACATCGTCATGGTGAAGAATACAATTTGGAAGGCTACCTGTTTGGAGAGAAGAGGGTGGTTCAACTACGGTTTTATGTCAGCTTTGCAAGAGGGGTCCTGAGTGGGCGGTCCTTGCTCCATATGCGGAAACCTCATGGAAATCCAAAGTGCCCCTTCAATGCAGGTTCTTTTCATGGCTTTGCGGCAAGGAATAGATGTTGGACACCGGATCGCTTGGCGAGGCATGGCCTACCACACCAAGCATCATGTCCACTTTGTGATCAGCATCGGGAGACCATGAACCATATCCCTCCCCTCCTTCGTCCTGGCGAGGACAGTTCGTACAACGATCATCACCGTCCTTGGTCATCCGGCGTGGATACCCACTACTACCAGCTCCATTGTTGAATGGTGCAATGCATGCCATGATCGTGACATGGACGCCAAAGACGTGAGAACTTTGCTAGCGCTTGACTTGTGGACACCGTGGAAGCACAGAAATGCCGTGGTCTTTGATGGGGCTACTCCACCGGCAATTGTGGTGATACGGCAAATTGAGGCGGAAGGAAGGGCATGGAAGATGGCCGGACTCACTAGAGGCAACTATGATGGATTCTTTGCAGCGGTGGCAGGTTAATGTGAACAGTAGCTAGCATAGCTTCTATGGATGTTTATGGGCGCGTTTACCGCGTTGTAAAACCTTGTAAACCTGGTGG